AGGGAAAGATAGCCATGCTTTAGTTCTCTTGCTTGGATAAATTGAGTAAAATAATGTCTTTAGTTATAAGGAGAGATCTATAATTCTTTGCTGTCTTAAATCACTCATTCACATACCACAACCACTGAAAGCTTTCTTTTTTTTTCTATTAGAGATGAAGATGACATCAATGATGTGACTTCCATGGCAGGGGTCAACCTCAGTGAAGAAAATGCCTGCATCTTAGCAACAAACTCTGAATTGGTTGGCACACTTGTTCAGTCATGTAAAGATGAACCGTTTCTTTTCATTGGACCTCTACAAAAGAGAATTTTAGACATTGGTAATTATGATTATTGACCTGATAGGACTGTCTCTTCCAAGGAAAATGTTATCAAAAGAGATAGCCTGGGTTGGTTTTTCTGGGAATTCTGAGGCTTAAAAAAGGCTCTGGAAGTAATCAAGATTTCATGGGTGTTATAGAAAAAAGTATTTTATTTTAAAAATTATTAATGTAACTTATATCATGTAACCTATGGTTTCTGGTGTAGATAATAGAAGTTAATATTTTATTCATCTTAATGGGAGAATAGATATGTAAAAAATGAATATATGCTTATGATATACTATTTTTTTCTGTGCTGTTCTTCCTTGGTTGGGCTTTAGCATGTAACTTATTCCAAGTTTGTTTTTATGAAATAAAGAAATAGCCAATGAGAGTTAGTCCCTTTTTCCTCATCTCAACCCTGAAATTCAAACCCATCCTTACCGTAAAAGAACTGAACTAGAATATCAGAGTTCTCTCTGGCCAGGAGTAGTTAGTTACTGGGTGGCCTGAAGTATGTGAAAGGAAATGGAAGAGAACATACCAGTTTCATTCTGGAGCCAAACAGCTTTTTTGTTGTTGTTTAATACCAAACTTGCAGTGATAACTGAAAAAAGAGACAGATTGGAGAGAGATTGTTGCATGTGAGTTATCTCACTTCTTGTGTCCTGACACAGGGACTTATTGGAGTTTCCTCTAGCTCTCTTCCTTCACCCATGTCCAATTTGAGGGGCCAGTACCGGTGACCTTTTAGTATGCTTGACTAAGAACCTTTACATTCTGTGTTGAAGGCCTAACACAAAAATGTGAAGGTTTCAGATTTTTGATACATCCATGGTATATTTAAGGACTTCAAAATGCATTACTATTACATATTCTAAGTTTACTTCACAATTACTCAATAAAGAAATATGTGAGCTCCTACTGTATGTTATTCAAATTATCACTTTTTTCACCTCTAATTTAAGTTGGTTATATGTTATCCTTCTTTTATCTTGAAAAACTAGAATTTACAGTAGTTCAAAGAGATAGAAATTCAGAAGAGCTAATTGTAAAATGTTTGTTTGCTGTTTGCTTGTGTTTTGTTTGACTTCTCCCTCCTCCTCCTCCTTCCCTCCCTCCCTCTCTTTCTTTCTCCTTCGTTTTCTTCTTGTATTTTGTATTGTATAGGAGACGGTTCCTTAATTTTGGAATAAGCCTAAGCAAATATCTTTCTGTGATGGCTTGGGAAATTTACTGGTGTTTTAACTCCTTTTAACCATATAATTATCTAGAACTGGTGGAGTAGAAGTAGATTCATACTTAGTTTTAGCAATTCCCTGCCCCCCTTCTAAATTTTATTTCTAGCTTGATTTAAACCTTGATTATATGATAGGAAAACTTTTAGTTTGACAGAGCATTTTCTATCATTCAGGACAGGGATTGACAATATTTTTTCCTGCAAAGGACCAGATCGTAAATATTCGCCACTTTGTGGGCATATAGTCTGTGTTGCAACTGCTTACCTCTGCTGTTACGTTACCGAAGCAACTGTAGACAGCATATGAACAAATAGAAAAGACTGTATTGCCATCAAACTTTATCTATAAAGAGAGACCAGATTTAGTTTGCTAACCTCTGCTTTCAAGGAGAATTCTGGGGAGAACTCTTTGTATTTTCAGTTCTTGATGATAAAACACCAATTTGTCATTTAATATGATGGAAAATTGCAAAACTTCTTCCCTCTAAATTACTTAAGCTTTTAAAACAAAAACAAAAACCATAGAGTGAATGGAGTTATATATTTCTAGGAATTTTTTCATTTACAATAAAATGTTTTTTATTTAATACAATAAATTTTTTTCATTTACAATAAAATGTTCCATGTTTACAGAACAGATCAGAACCAAGACCATTTCTTAATAACAGGAATTATAAAGTAACCCAAAGAATTTGGGGAGGAAGATTTTCTTACTTGAATATGTTAGGGGAGTAAACATGCCAGTGTTCTTCCTTTTTTTCTAATTACCTAAATTAAATGACACAGACATTCTGTAAAAATCACGTAGTAAGCTTGCAAACACCTACTAGATTGCCTTAAACAGTCAATGGTGACTTTACTAAAGGGAGTGTTTTATTTTAAAGTGAGACTTTAACTTGTAACTCTGTTATGTTTTATCATTAGCTTAGTGAAGATATTAGAATGTTTGATTGTTCACCAAGCCCTGGAATTGATTGCAACTCCCAGTACTTGTTTTAGTATTTTAAAAATACGGATATTTCTTTAGCATAGGTTTCTGTTTTATAAATACATATGAAATTATTTTCAAAGTTTCTCCCCAAACACTATATATTCTTTTTTTTTTTTAATTATTTATTTATTTATGGCTGTGTTGGGTCTTTGTTTCTGTGGGAGGGCTTTCTCTAGTTGTGGCAAGCGGGGGCCACTCTTCATCACGGTGCGCGGGCCTCTCACTGTCACAGCCTCTCTTGTTGCAGAGCACAGGCTCCAGACACGCAGGCTCAGTAGTTGTGGCTCACGGGCCCAGTTGCTCCGCGGCATGTGGGATCCTCCCAGACCAGGGCTCAGACCCATATCCCCTGCATTAGCAGGCAGATTCTCAAACACTGCACCACTAGGGAAGCCCAACACTATATATTCTTAAATGTTCACTTTCTTTAGACATTAACTGGCATGTCATCCTCTATATACTCTATGTTTAATTATAATTTTAATCATTGGATTGTTTTGAAATTGCATTATTCCTTCTATAGAAGGCCCCCCCATTTGTTTATGCTGATGTTTTAGTAAAGTAGATTTGACTTTTCAGTGTTTTTCTCCCCCTTTGAATCATAACTTGGTGATTAATTCATTTTTGCTACAAAGTAATGAACTGCTTTGTGTTGAAGGTTTGTTATAGGAGAAGCTGAATCATTTTATATCGTTTTCCTGTGTGATTTACTATAGCTCACATTTTGAATTAAGTTGAACATTTGTTATAGAATAATGTCAAAGAATGTGTTTAAGAATTGTTAGCTTTTAATTAAAGCTTGTTTTTTGCAATACTCATTCACACTTTGAGTACGTGAGTATGTTTCAGATAGAGTGCAAAATCAAACAATAATATATTTGAAATTTCTATAAATACATATGTTAAAAACAAACACAATAGCACTATTTAAAAGCTCATTTAAATGAGATTACCTAATTACCTGTATCTTTAGAGTTAGGTCTCTGATGATACAGGTAGTTTCACTGAGCTGGAGAATTACTATTTAAAAACTGATAAGGTTGATTTATAAATGAGCTTCTGCTTTGGGGTATGTGGTCCAAATTGTTTTCCTGAAACTGTCTTCCTAGTTAGCAGAAGGAAGAATAGAAGTTTGGTTTATTTATGGAAGGAGATATAGTGAAAGAGAAATTTTTCAAATTGATGGGTAAAATGATGAGGCTTTGAACCCGTTTCAACTTGTAAATTAATTACCAGGTCAACTTATGGAACATGAGTTAGTGCAAATAAGCATGATTGATAATGGACAAAAGGAGTATAGGTGTGTCATGCAGACAGGTTATTAACAGAGACTCACAATCTGAATTAACTGAAATAAATGTCATAAATTGTTAAGTGTCAAACGGCAAAATGTAATTTTCTATTTTTTTAATGACTAAAATTAGCAGAATATAGCACTGATTTCTGCAGTTACCATTTTCCTCCCTGAACACTAGACTTGATTTGTGTTCTTATTAACTTTGTCCTATAAATGACCTTGCAAGGAGAATGAGTCTAGAGGCTAAGTGAAACAATGTCTATATTTTCTGAGGCTTCAGGCTAGGTTTTATTAATGTAATGTCTAAGATCTTTGAAGTTGTGACTTTACCAGGAAAATCATAATCTCCAAACCTTTATTCATAATGGGTATGACTTCCAGGGGGAACAGAATACCTGCTGTGCTAATTATTTCAATTATCAGCCACTACTAAAACACGTAATGGATTTTCTCTGCTTCCACAGGTAAAAAGCATGACATTACAGAACTTAACTCTGATGCTGTGAACTTGATCTCCCATGCAACACAGGAGCGATTACGAGGCCTTCTAGAAAAACTGACTACAATCGCTCAGCATCGAATGACAACTTACAAGGTAAAGGAAATCCTTAAAGAAGAACAAACTCTTCTGTCTCTTCTTTGTTGTGTTAAAGGTAGTTTTTTGATATGGATTCATATTCTAAGTGTATTTTTTCAAGGAAATGGTCGAGACATATTTCATATTGGTAAAAAATAAAAGTCTCATTCCTAATTTGCCTCATTTAGATACGCTTACATGACAAATAAAATAGGGTTTCAAATGGTATCCAAAGCTTCTATGTCACTGTACATTGAAATTTGCATCTGTTCTGCCTGAGGCTTCTGCTCCTAAAGCTCTTGACTGGGAGGGAGGATATGTTAGAAGGGATAACGTATTGGATAGCTGTGTTCTCTTCAGTGATCTGTTCTCTGCTAGCATTCCTGTTCCTTTTAATAAGTTAAATGATTGCACTGAGTGCTGATATTGGTGCCACTCATTATTTATATTGACCACTTTTATAAAAAATTAAATGCAAGAATAGCCTATCTTATTCCTAGTAGTGTGAACCAAATCACTTGCCATCATCAAGATGAAAGCATTAGATTTATTTGCATCATGGTTTGGATGGAGAACAAATTTATTGGGTTATGAGGGTTGAAAAAGATAGCCTTTTCCCCATATATCAAGAAATGTTTATAGGTAGATTTTGTACAATGTGGTATATGGGTAACCTTATAAGGTTTTGAGTTTGCAAGAATGGTCATTGTCATGATGTCCTACACATAGGTTAAAAGCAATCTAGGGAAGATCAGCCACTCTACCACCAGTAAATTTCCTGGAGGAAATCATTCTGTTTTCTCTCCTTTCTGCTTCATTTAGAACTTTGGAAGAACTATTTATAGTTGCTGAGGTCCTCACTTGTATAAATCTTTGTGAGAATTTGCTGGACTGACTTAAAAATATATGATCATCAGAAAAAGCTGTGAAAAAACCCCTACTATCAGTATTTATTTTTTGTGTGCTTCTGGAATTTGTCCATTTCTTCTAGGTTATTTAATTTGTTGGCATACAGTTGTTCATAGTATTCTTTAATAATCCTTTTTATTTCTGTAAGGTCAGTGGTAATGATCCTACTTTCATTTCTCATTTTGTTTCCTGAAGATGTAAGGTTGGTTACTGATTTAAGATCTACCCTTTTAATGTAGGCATTTATTTATTGCTATAGAATTCTCTCTGAGCACTGCTTTTGCTGCATTCTATACGTTTTGGTACATTGTGTTTTTGTTTTCATTCATCTCTTAGGTATTGTCTAATTTCCCTTGAGATCTCTTTATTTCATTGGTTATTTGAGAGTATGTTGTTTAATTTCCACATATTCGTGAAATTTCCAGTTTTCCTTCTGTTGTTGATTTCTAGCTTCATTCCATAGTTGTCAGAGAATATTCTTAGCACAATTCAATCATTTTAAATTTATTGAGGCTTGTTTTGTGGCCTAACATATGGTCTGTCTTGGAGAATGTTGCATGTGCACTTGAGAAGAATGTGTATTCTGTTGTTGGGGAGGAGTGTTCATATATGTCTGTTAGATCTAGTTGGTTTATAGTGTTAGGTCCTCTATTTCCATATTGATATTCTGTATAGGTATTCAATCCAGTATTGAAAGTAGGGTATTGAAGACTTCAACTACTATTGTAAAACTATTTCTCTTTAGTTCTGTCAGTGTTTGCTTCATATATTTGGGGGCTCTGTTGTCTAGTGTGTATCTCTTCTTGTTATATCTTCTTGGTGAATTCACTCTTTTGTCAGTATATAATGTCCTGTCTCTTTTAACAGTTTTTGACACAAAGTCTGTCTTGCCTGATATTAGTATAACCACCCCTGCTTTCTTTTGGTTATTATTTGCATGGAATATTTTTTTTCCATCCTTTGACTTGCAGCCTATTTGTGCTTTTATCTAAAGCCAATATCTTGTAGACAGCATATACTTGGATTTTGCTTTTTATCCATTCTGTCAGTCTCTACCTTTTGATTGAGGAGTTTAATCCATTCACATTTAAAGTAATTACTGATTAAGGAAAAACTTACTTCTGCTATTTCTGTTTTTGTGTGTGTGTTATGGCTTTTTTTGGCATTCCTTTACCACTGCCTTCTTTTTTGTTTGATTTTTTTTGTTGTATATTGTTTTGATTCCCTTTGCACATGTGTGTGTGTGTGTGTGTGTGTGTGTGTGTGTGTGTATTTTTTAGATATTTTCTTAGTGGCTACCTTGGGGATTACAATTAGCATCCTGAATTTGCAGTAACCTAATTTAAATTGATAACAATTTACCTTCACTTTTGGGATGTGGGGGGATTAGTCTTCCTTTTTGTCTTTTTACTGTAACTTTTTAAAGAGCCTTATAATTTTTCACATCTGGATTCTCCCCTTTTCCTGCCTCAAACACCCTGTTGTTTCAGATATACATGAGTGAACTTTCATTTACAGTAGACAGTTTCTATACAAAATGTAGCATGTACATTTAGTATGGAATAGATTTTTTCCAAGTAATGTTTACTATCCAGAATGCCATCCAAAGCTCTATTATGTATAGCCTTCAGGTGGAGTAGTTCTTCTAGTGTATATTAACGCATATTCCAAGGATTTAGTTGCCCCAGGCAAAATGGATAATATCTACCCCACTTAGAAACTCAATAACTTAGCTTAAAGCTAACACCTTCTTAACCTTCTGTCTTGACACTGCCTATCCTGATTGATTTTCCCCTGCCCGCCTTTCCCCACACTTATTCCTTAATACAGCTAATGCCACTGTGTGAATTTGCACATATAGAAAAGCAGCTACACGATCATCCTTCTTTAAACAGAAATAATAATCATTTAATTATATTTGGATCTAGTTCAAAATTATATACTTATTTTGTAGACTTTGATTGTAATAATCTTTGTGTCACAGATTGAGCCCTGTCCTTATATTTCAGTTCATCCCTGATAGGATTTATTTTTATCTGTACAGTATGGGAAATATTACTCCATGAATTTCACAAAAGTGAGCTACTTTTATTAAAAGCAAAATCCCACCATCTCTTTCCATTTGAAATCCCTCTACTTTTGATAATCTTTCACCTGGTTAGACATAATTCTCTAATTAATCATAGTCCATAAACTGAGATTTAAGTAAAGAAGTAGAAAGTGACACATGTGATACAAAGCTTTTGATCTTGCTGCCAGGTTTTTTCCCACTGAAGATATGTTAGAGTCTTCTACGTGCCAGTGGCTGTGGAGAAACTTCGTGTTTTCCAGTTGAAAGGGGCTGTAGTACTTTCTTTAGATGGGATTCACTTGATGATGTTATTGTTTGGTCTGAGTCCTTATAATTTCACTGCTAAACCACCTGACTCTGTGGTGCAAGAAGACTTCAGTTAGACCAGCTGGGTAGACAGGAAGCATCATGATAAGACTGGGGTACTGTTGTTTAAATAAAGTTGGAGACTCAGTAGAAGTAGGGAAGACACTCAGTTGTTCAGGACTGGAAGAGTAAAGGAAGGATGCATTAAGCAAGAGGCAGTTGTACTGAGTTGGAAGAGAGAGAAGGAATCTTAGCATGGAAATGAGATTGGGTTCAAATTTAGAAAGTCTGTGCGCCTTTTTAATTTAGCATTTGCTGTCCTTTTAAATTAAATCCTGTCAGTAAATTATCTCCAGGGTATATGAACACAAAAATGGTAAAAATGAAGTATTTAAGAAACCACTGGTTATTATGTTTATGCCTGTATGGTTAGCTTATAATGTATTCCATATTCTATCTTGTATTATTTAACTTTAAAAACATTTGAGAATTCTTTTTGTATTAAACACAAAGTAAAATAAGTAGCACTAATACATCCTTGTTCATTATTCTGTGTAATACTCTTTTGATCTAGTTAAATACCAACAATAAAAATTTAATTTAAAAAGAATCTTGGGCATATGAAATCTCTCAGTCCCAGTTAATTGAATCAACCATAAGCATGGGATAAAACAAAGATGGGAATGGTGCTGTACCCAGATTTCCAAGCCACGCACTGACCGTTGGACTAAAAGTTTAAAAACATTCAGTTTTCCTATTTTATAGTCTCCCTCCTATAGCTTGGATGTCTGAATTACTGAAATGAGTAGATGGCAGAAAGTCACCCCACCCCCAACAAGCATACATGTATTAAAGGAGGAGAGATAGGTGGTCATATCAGATAAAATTACAAAATATTTAGATTGTAAAGCACTGTTTTACACTGTAGAATATCAGAATAAATGAAACAGTATAAATCTTATCATTTTATGGAACATTGAAGATGAATAATTATGTTTCTCTGTTATGACTCTCATTTATACATTGTATACTTAACTTCTTTGACTATAGTTTCTGCCCAAGTCCATAGCTTAAAGAAATTCTTACAACAGAGTTTAGGATTTTAATGTTTGCCATTTTGTCTTATGTCGTATTTGGTAGACGTATTTTGGCATGGTTAGACCAATTCAACAATAGAAACAAGGGTGATAACTTTCATCTTAGGTATATTTTTCAGTGAGATGATTGTTTCTTATTTTTTGTCTTTCACAGGCCTACAATTTAATTAATCATTAAGGTCTGCTGAGATGGACGATAGTTTAAATAAAAAGATTTAGATTATAGGTAAAGGGTGCACTGTCTTGCTTTCTACTTCCAGTTATTAGGATCTGCTTGGCTTAATTCCTTTTTCCTCCCCTCTGGATGAAGCTTACTAGGAAAGCTCTTCGAAATTTCAATGCTTAATCACCTCTCAAATTTTAAGGATGATTAAAGTTCTTATTTTGTTGTTGTTTGCTTAACAGAAATAAACATATTACCTCCTGTAAATTTAGTTCCCTATGTTTGTGTTACTGTCTTTAGCTGATTTATAACAAGACCTAATGTAGAATGTGTTGCCTAGGATCATCATAAAACTTTTTTTTTCCCCAGGCAAGTGAAAATTATATCCTGTCTAATGACACCAGATCACAGCTCAAATTTCTTGAAAAGCTAGATCAACTGGAGAAGCATAGAAAGGATGTAGAAGAAAGAGAAATGTTACTTAAAGCAGCCAAGGTAAGGTCCTATGTGATTTATGAGTGAACATGGCCTGGCAAGGAGGTCAGAATTGGCTTTATCATTTGTTGACTATCTTGGTTTTGTTAGGCCTTTAGACTTCTCTGAAGGATTTCTTAAAATGAAATTACTAATAAATTCTCTCACAGCCACAGGATGGTGTGGTACAGTGGCTTTCAGTTAATTTAGTTTAATGAGACATAATCTTTTGTCTCCTCATTCTCAATTCCTGTGTGCCTAGCATCATACCACTTCCCCCTCCCCAAGTAAAAATGTTTTAAAAATTTTCAAGGTCTTTTCAGGGATATGATTTAATATGTGCCAAGTTGAAGTTGAGAGAGGAAAATTTGGAAAGTGGACATGAATGTTATAGGTAAAAATTAGGAATAGTTAGGATTATATGAAACAAAATAGAAGATGAGCAGGAATTGGTTAGAGAGATACTAAAAGAGAGAACAGGTAAGGCTATTATTGATTTTCTTTCTTCCTCCTTTAAGCATTTTCCTGGACCATTAGGGCCAGATGGAGTGAGAGCTAGTTCCATTATAATCTGCGTTTTGTTGCTGCACATTTCTTTGTAGTCCTTGGGGAGCAGTCTTAAGGGTTGGATACTAGTGTTATTTTTTGTTTTAAACGCTTCAGTTTTGATTTCCAATGTTATAGGAATCCTCCCCTTTTAGAATATTTGTTCCTAGTCACATACTAATCACTTTTTTAAAAATTCATTTATTTTGAAACGATTTCATACTTACAGAAAAATTGCCAGAACTATACATCTCCTTTTCAGTTGGGGTTCCCCATTTTTAACATTTTACTGCATTTCCTCCATCTCCATCATTTCTGTACACAGGTGCACACTCCCGTTACCATTATTCTCTTTCTTTTGTTCTTTTTTCTTTGAATTCAGAGGTTTCTCATACATTCACAAAGTTGTGGAACTGTTGTCTCTAATTAGTCTTTCTCTGAACCTTTTGAAAGCAAGTTTCAGACATGATGTCTCATCACTCCTAAACATTCTGGCATGTATTTGCGAAAAGCAAGGCCATTCTCCTGTATAACCTTCCAAGTCAGGACGTGAATAACATGACACTACCATCTAATCCACAGACCCTATTCAGATTTGACCAGCTATCTCAAGCCTCTTTTTCCTTCATGGTCCATTTTCCCATTCAGGAATGTGTGTCTATTCAGTTGTCATCAGATTCCTTCAGTCAGATTTTCTCACTTTTTTTCTTTAATGTCTTTGACAAGTTTCAAGAGTACAAGAGTACCAGCCTTACCTTCTGTAGGGTGACTCTCAACCTGGGTTCATCTTATGTTTCCTTACAACTTGACTTGGGTCACGCATTCTTGGTGGGAATGCATAGAAATGATGCTTCATTCTTCTCAGCTGATTCTATCAAAAGGCAACCTTGATCAGTTCTCTCCATTTTAAAGTTTCCCTTTCCCCCTTTGTAATCAATTAGTTTTCTGTAGGAAGGTATTATAGCATTATACTAATATCCCATACCTCATCAAACTCCACAGAGCAACTTTATCATCCACCGATGATACCTATGAATCAGATACCTCTGTGATGGCTGCCAAATGGTGATTCTTTATTCTCATCATCTCATCTATGTTTATTAGTACTCTACTTTGTGGAAGAGCTTTCCTTTCTCTCATTCATTCATTCATACATTCATGCACTCATTTATATCAACATGCGCTCGTGGATTTCTATTTGATGCAACAGGTTGTAATCCATTACTGTCATTATTTATTTTGTTGCTCAAATTGCTCCTGAATGGGAGACCCTTCCAGCTGGCACTTCTGTCCTTTAATCATGTTTCCATCATTCACTGAGCATGTCCTTACTTTCAGGCACAAGATACTCCAGGCCCAGCTTTTACTCATCCTTTCCCAGCCCTGGAATCAGTCAGTTCATCAAGGAACCATATACATTTTAGTTGAGGATGATATCCAGAAATCAAGATTAGAGTCTACAGTGTGCTCATTGCTAAGAGAGTATGATTACATGTAGACCCTGTCAAATGGACAGATCTAGGAAACATGTATGGTATGTGATATGTACACATATCTATATAAACACACAAACATAGATCTATAACTATTTTACTGTGTGTGTACATTATAAAACTATAAATTTATATGAATATCTCTGTGATATCTTAGGGTTCTTCCTAGCCTTAACCTTTCCATGTTTATAAGTACTTACTCTGAAGTCAGAAACTTGACTCTATTTATCCTCGATATATTTACTTATGTTCTCAATTTATTTATTTGATCAATGTAACTAATCTCCCAAGCAACCATGCTGGCTGACTCTTCTGTCTGCTACCACTGTTACCCCTGCCCTCATTTCATTGCCTATTAATTGGCCGCCATGCCCACTGGCCCATGCCTTGGTGGGTCTTCCCCAGCCCTTCATCACCCTGCACTCTTGACCTCTGGTCTATACCTTCATGTGCCAAGGTGCACCACAACCTTGTCACTGTGCAGCTTCTCACTGTCCCACAGTCTCAGTCCCCATTCTGACCCCTCTTGCACTGGGAAAGGCTGCTGGGACAGGAAGATGCTCTTTCTCGAGCCCTTGAGTATTATAAGCAAGCACACAGCCAACGTAACGAGGTGGTTTATTGGTATTTTATTCCCAATTACTCTGCTGTAAACAAGGTTATAAACCTTTAAATACTTGTTTAGTTATTATCGGGTGTAGTATATTATAGTTGCTCTCACTTTCTCGTAGTTTTACCTTCTACTCTTACAGATTATCTAACTCAGTAAATGACATCATTATTCACCCAGATGTTCAAGCCAAAAAAACCTAGGAGTCATCTTTAACTCCTTTTCCTCTTTTCTCTCCCTATATCCAGTTCACTTTCCTATTCAGTTCCCAAAATGTGTCGACCACCTTCTCTTCACCACTGTTGTCATCACTCTGATCTGAGTCATGTTTCCCTTGGACCTTTATAATGTCTTCTAACTAATGTCCTTTTCCTTCTACAATCCATTTTCATACTGTTGTCAGGATAGTGTTTTCATAGCAAATCATGTGTGTCTCTGTTGCTTAAAATCCTTCAGTGACTTCCTCTTGCCTTAAAATAAAATCCAAACTTACTACCAAATTTTTAAACGCACCCACCTCTCTCTCTGAACTTTCCTCATGTCCCTCCCTTCTTCACTCATTCTGTTCCAGTCACAGTGACCTTTCTTTGTGCTCCAAGTTTGTATCCTAGACTACTAATGAAGCATCTAAAACTGAACACTGAGTTCCCTTTCCCCAAATCTGCTCTGGTCTTTACCTTCTCGGGAAGTTGGAATTTTCTATCCTTCCAGTTACTTAGGCCACAATCCTAGGCATCATTCTTGATTCCTCTCTTTACTTCACATCCTATATCCAATCCATCAATAAATCTGGTTGGCTCTACCCCCAACATGTATTTCAATCTAGTTATTTATCATCATATTCTATGATGCTGGTTCAAGTTGCCCTCATCTTTTTCTCAGTCTTGTATTTACAGCAGTTGTTTTAGAACAGCTTCCTAATTGCTCTGTGTGCCTGTGCCTCCAGTCTTGGATCCATACAGTGCATTGTCTATATGGCAGCCAGAGTGACCTTTCGAAAGTGTTCTGCCAGTGGCATCTCACACCTGTGCTCCAAACCCTCCAGTGGCTTTTTCTTACAACTAGAATCAAAGCCCAACTCCTTATCATGACCTACAAGGCGGCATGTTGTCTCCAGCCTTATCTCTCAACTTTTCTTTATGCTCCAACCACACCAGCCTTCTTTCTTTCCTCAAGTATGCCAACCATATTCCCATTTTTTGGCTTCTGCAGTGACTGCACCTTCTGCTTAAGAGTGTTCTTCCCCCAGATCTTTATGTGGCTGCCTCCTTGTCATTCAGATCTCTACTCAGTTGTCACTCCTCAGAGAAGTCTTCCATCCCGTTCTGGCTATAGAAGTACACCCCTCTTTCTATCACATTATCCTATTTTATTTTATTTATAGTACTTATCACTATCAGTCATTGTTTTTTATTTTTCCCCATCATAAATGTTTTACATTTCACAACTGTGTTTAATTTCTATAAAATTGTTTTATTGTTCTCTTCTTAAAATGTAAGTTACTTGAAGGCAGAGACTTCGTCTTGTTACCTCATTTCTATATCTCCGAGGCCTAGAACAATGGCACACAGAGTAGAATATATACTATGGATAGTCAATAAATATTGGTTGACTGACAAAGACTTGATACCCAAATGTGCCCATTTTATACTGTGGCAAAAATTATATACACACACATATACATACACACATACATATACACCCATATTTTTATGTGAATACACATATACTCATTCTCTCCTAACATAAGTAGAATAACAAGGGAGTTTTCTTAGTTGGGCTAGAGTGAAGTTGTTTTATTATATTGGAGACAAAATTAAGAAAAAATGTATTAGCTTTGGGTAGAATCTTATGTAGGTATTTAATTAAGGTGTTTAAAATTATAAAGCACTCAGATATAAACAGTTTCTTCCTTGTGTTTTCCTTTAACAGAAGTACTGATAAATCAGTAAAAACGTTATCAGTTAAACTAAGTAAATAGGAAAATACTTTTTGCTTTTATTTTGTTAGCTATCTTTAGTTAGCTGCTATTGAATGTTATGGAATATTCAGATTTATAAGGAGTTAGGTAACTTTATTAGAATAAGAAGAAGAATACACCTATCCACAGCATATTTTTCAGTGGACAAATGTCTGTAGTGTCAGAAATATAGTTCTTTCCTTACCTTTGGTTCCATCATAGCATTACATGTAGAATGTAGCTCTTTTCTTATAGCAGTCCTGTAAGATTATTCATTTTTTGAATGTTAAACTGAATCAGTATGGAAAGTGACATTCAATAAACATTTATTGAACATTTTCTTGGGCACAGCATTCTGTTAAGTGCTATAGAGGACCCAAAGATGATAAGATACTCTAATGAAAACATTGGGATGTATTTCTTAATTTTTAAAAATTACACTTTTGAAGAGAGAGAAATTTGGTTCAAAGTTCGTCACATTCTTGTTTTTAATAGTCCTTGAAATACCATATTTTTACCTAAATGGCTTCACCTAAGGATTAGCCAATGTTGATTGTTTTCATTCATTTGAGCCAACAGTTATCCTTTTCTTTTCCTTCATCTCTACCATCCATTTTTAAGTTTTTAGTGTTCCAACAAGAACAACGTCATGCCTCAACTGGACCTGACTGACATTGTTAGCATCATTTTCTCTATAAGCTTCCTCCAGGCTAGCACTGCAGCAGCCAGCCCAGATGATGAGAGGGAGGGGGAGGTGGGAGGGAGAGCACGAGACTGGATTGAGGCATTTTCCCCTGGAGCTAAGGTTTTCAATCACAAGAGAAAATTGTCATTTATTAAATATTTAACGGCAACTATGGTGTTTAGATGCTAGTAATTTCTATTAAAATTTTCTTTTCCTTTGATAGAGTCGTTCCAATAAAGAAGATCCAGAACAGCTGAGATTAAAGCAGAAAGCCAAAGAGGTAGGACTTTCAAGTTACCATGCTTGTCTTTGTGTTTGAGGGAAGGTTGGCAGCTCTCTCCTGGCAATTAGGTCAGGGTTTATTTTGCTGTTGCATACCATTTGCCGAAGCCTTGGGGAAGGACAGGAACTGCTGAAGGCAAGGGCAGTACTTCAAATGAGGTCAATGAGTTATGTGCTCTCTTTTTAAAATTTATTTTCAAGGCTTAGGCCTGTCTAGAAATGGCTCTTTGTAAACTACAGCAGCACACTTGGAGGAATATAATGTGGGATTAAAAAAAAAAGAAAGAAAAGAAACTTCTGAGATTTAGCATCTGGGACTGTACAATAGGCTACATTTTTCCAGGGTAATTGTTCGTTTTGTAAATCTGATACTGCTTATAATTCTTTGGCTGGGAGGTGGTACTGGGATTTAGTTTTAAATGGAAAACGCCTCTGGCTTTTAATTTTCTGGGCCCAGCAGTTTTCTGTTCTGGAATGGAGCCCTTGTTTCACACAGTTCATGTTTAGCTGCGGGGGTTTTAGTTTATAGCTTAGACTGGTTAAGCTTTTACTCCCAGAGGCCTCTGCATAGCAACTGTAGAAATCAACAAATAAGTTCATTTATGTCTGCAGCCTCCTCTCAGTAGCTGACTTTTTACATTTCCCAATATCCATTTCCTGACTTTTCTAGCCCCCGAGAAAAAAGCTCCACTAATTGGAGCTTATTTTAATTGAGCCTTAATATTGGATCTCACTGGAGTTGCCCCCAGAGCTGCTGAGAACAGAAGGAAATGAAAGTACCTAAGGTTGAAGGCATGGTGTATGTATGGGTGTGTGTGTGAAATTTTTCACTTGACCTACAGATTCTTTTCCCTGCTGAATAAATCATCAAGCCTGTTCACATTTCTGATTAAGGATCTGACAGCAGACGATAATAAAGACAATTGAGGTGTGAGACGTGTGATATGGAGCTGAAGAAATTGGTTTCTATAGTTACTTGACTGATTTCATGCAATTTTTAAGGATCTTTGTGCTAAATAAGAGTGATTTCCTGAGCAACCTTTTTCCTTAACTGTGCCTCTTGAACTATGAAATTTGTTGTTGCTTAACATTGCTGCACTCGGCTTCTAGATGCCAGCAGCAGCAGGTTATTTATGAATGTTTTAAAGGCCCTTATTATTTGGATTAATGTAGGAGCTGAGGCAAAGCAAATGGAAATCTAGTAAGATTCTTACAATCAATGTGGTGTGTTTTCACTAAAATAGAAAAGGAAGAAAACATGAACTCTGGATGGAGGGGTTTCTGGATTGAGGTGAAGAGAACTGGGAAAGGAGAATATTAAAAAGGATTTGAAACCGAACCATTTTATTTCAACAACAAAAAATTTCTGTTACTCATTTCCAGAAAATTTATCTAAAAATATTATCTAAAAAAGTTAACATGAGAACTGTACCTATAATCTTACAGCAAGCCTGGCTTGATGATAGACTGATTGGTTGCTTTGAATCATGAGTGCCCCTCTTTGTTTTCATTTAGGACTGATAGATGCTTATCTTACTTCTAATCCCACCCACTTTTTGGAAAATAAATATCAGAAAACTTACTGCTTTATCCTTAAAGGTCTTATCCTGTCTGTTTTTCTTTCATATACCTTCACAAACATCTGGATCATAGATTAATTTTTCCTTCAGGTTTGTATGTTTTTCTTTTAATTGTGTTTTTTATTCCCTGAAGGATGAATAGGTGGACAGCATTTTTTGAAGAAAATTGTAAGAGCAAATGTGAAAAGAAAAAAAAAAAACCTCTCAATGAGAGCAGGTGTGCTGTAGCAAACCTGTTTTTTTTTCCCCCACTGTTTTTGCACCTCCATTTATTTATTTTTCTTAGCAAGATTAAAAAAACTGTATATTTTCCTTCCAAAATATTTCAAAAGTTTTCTGGTTGCTTCCTATTCTAAATCCTCTTTGATTTAAAAAAGAGTCAAATACATTGGCCCAGTTCCAAGAACAGAGCCACTCTGTATTAGTTGCAAATGTTGGATGAAAGTAAAATATTGTCATTTTTGTCATCCCCATGCCCCCTAGAGTTCTTAATAACTTTAATATTCTAAGGGGCTCTAATTTAGAATCAAACATACCATATTTTGTTTGGTTGCAAAATCATTGACCCTATCTTTATATAGAGTTGAATTGTTGTCTTATATGGTAATTTGTAAGGTTATCATTTGGGATATACTAATTGTTATCACACTGCTATAAACTTTAAAGCTTTGGTTTGTGATTTTTTGGTATTTGGCTGTTTAGGAAATTTTCTTTGTCCAATTGTGAAAACTAGTACAGATTCCTTACTGTTGCTCAATATAAAACTGCTTTGCTTTCCTTTTTTCCGGTAACTACCTACCTACCAAGCTGCGCATAGGAAACAGATTAATGACAGTATCTTACAAATATAGAACTCCAAAGAACTGTTTAGAGAAGTTGTAGGCTTTATTGATTCTGAGGAATGTTTCAGCAGTGATGTTTGTCATATAAATATTAAATCACAACTTGAATCCCCTTCATATGTAGTCTTATAATCCATGGTTGTTTTCAACTGTTAAGAACTAGAGTTTTGGGGGGTTTTGGGGTTGTTGGTTTTTTTGCGGTACGCGGGCCTCTCACTGTTGTGGCCTCTCCCTTTGCGGAGCACAGGCTCCGGATGCGCAGGCTCAGCAGCCATGGCTCACGGGCCCAGCCACTCCGTGGCATGTGGGATCTTCCTGGACCGGGGCACGAACCTGTGTCCCCTGCATCAGCAGGCGGACTCTCAACCACTGCACCACCAGGGAAGCCCAGGACTAGAGTTTTGACCTTGGTCATTTCTCCCATGGGTTTTCTTCTCTCTAATACAGATTTAGAGTCTATGCATTTCTTCTTTGCATTCTGGTGTAAAGCCAAACTGTTAAATTGAGCCGGTTTTTATAAAGATGTCTAATTTCTTTTCATCCTTCCTATTGACTTCTTCCAATTTTGTCATTCTCATTTGGCACTTAAAAAAGTAGGCCGCCTTTGGGTTTGCCTCCAGCCTAGTCTGAATCCGTTGAAGCAGCTCCTGCTGCATACTATTCTTATTGATCTGACAGGTTATCCATCTATTTGAAAACATTGTTGTCTGGCTAAAATGTCTGTGGATATCAAACATTTTAGTTCCAACTTTGGGGCCATCTTTTTCCTGTTTTCTATCTTTGCCTTTAAAAAAAGTCATAAGTGTTCTCGCTCTCTGTATTGTAAGTTTATATTTTAAATATGGACACTTTTAAATTGTGATGGTTTTTTTCCCCCTAGATACTTTTACTGAAATGTAAGTACTGACATTCTTCCATTTCACCATCAATGTGTGAAAGGTTTTAAATAGATTACTAATTGCCAAATTCTGACTTCAAACAAGCAGGCACGTTTTTGTTCAGTGCATCTGTAAACTTGTCTGAAATGTGTGCTGTGTGTCCTAGATTACCATCTAGCCTTCAATGTTTTCCTTTCTTACGACATCATCCAGAGTTCTGCAGAGCAAACCATCTGACCTTGGAGTTCAAACATCCTGATTCCTTAAACATTTGTTACATGTATCGTGACCCTTATTTCCTTTGAATATCTTCTTTCTCCTTTGGGAAATGTGAGTTTAGTACATCTGTGCAGAGTGAGACAAAGAATTCATTTACTTTCTTTAACAACTCCTAGCATCCCCTCTTTCATTTTTTATCAGACATTAGAAGAAAGAAAAAGGAATGCATGACATGTACCTGCTGGCACATTAGTTTCACAGTGCATCCTGTAGAAACTGGGCAAAAATAAGTATTAAATAATTAAAATGCATAACAGATTAGAAAACTTGTACCCTGAAGGACTTTGGATTTTTGTTTATAGAAAATATAGGATATAAAAACTATAAGTAATACAATTCTCCATGAAGCATTATTGTACAATAAATAAAATACTCATAAGGCTCATTACTGATTAGAAGATATATCATTTAGGTACAAGAAGGGCAAGGGATTTTTTTAAGTGAAATTTTAAAATATATGGAGTCAGTGAAATATGATAGTTAAGGCTAACTATTAAATTTATAGCAACTTGTATTTAAACTTTATACTAGTTCTGCATGAGCCAAAACTCATGGAACACTGAACAGGGAAAATTGAAGTTTGTCATTAAAAGTGCAATCAAATTAATGTAGTATGGAGAAGATGTTCTTAAAATGGCAAGTTATAAAGAGCTTGTATACATAGCAGAGAAACAGAAATGCAATGTTTTCAAAGCATTGATAGTCTAAGATAGTAGTTCTCAAACTTCGATACGCATAAGAATTATCTGGAGGGCTTGTTAAAACACAGGTTGCTGGGTACCACCCCAGGAATCTATGACACAGTAGGCCTGGGTGAAGTCCAAGAATTTGCATTTCCAACAAAATTTTCCATGATTTTTCTATTGCTGTCGCTGTTCTGGAGATCACACTTAGAATCTAGGAGGGGAAAGAAGGGGGCCTTTAAAATCTTTCACTTTTGTTTTCCTATTGACTAAATGGTCATAGAAAGTTAAATAAAGTACTGTGATTAGGGAATCTGAGAATTGGCATCTTGAACTGGCATAGTTCAGTTACCATCCAATTACCATTCACTAGGTTCTCTCTTCGGAAGCAGGAAAGCTACACTAGGTTTTTTAATGGATATTTTCTCAAGAGACCTTTATTGGTTGTATCTCTTGATTGGTGAACCTTACACAGAAAATATAACATTTTATTTAGAGCTTCTTCAGAAGGTTGTACTCATTCTTTAATTTTGATGTGTAGGATCTGTGTGTCTTGAGATATGTATTATCCTTTTGATAGAAAAGGTGTGTATTATAGAGGAAATAGCATTGAAGTAGAAGTCAGGAGTCGTGGATGCTAGATTCAGCCTGCCATTATCTAGATTTCACTTTGGGAAAGTTACTTGACCTCTTTGAACTTACCTATTTCCTTGTATTTAAAATGAATGTAACAATA